GACTTGTCCAAAGTCACACAAGTTATGCGGCATTCCCCCCCGACCTGTAAACTGGAGCTAGTATTCACTTCCAGGCGTGTTATGAAGTGTAATTGTGTCACTATAAGCAGATAGGAGGTACAACAGAAGAATAAAGCATTGCTATTAGGGCGGGTTTTGTGGACAACTTCAGCATATGTTTTAGGGTTACCAGGTGTCCAGTATTGACCCGGACAATCCGATATTTTCGCCTCCTGTCCGGTACAAAATTCAGAAAATACTCGACACCTAAAACGTCTATTTTCTGATTTTTTTCCCCCCCACTAGGAAGCGAAAATCCTAGGCACTTACCTGGTTCCGCAGGGAAGCTGTTTGGCCCAGAGCAGGAAGACAAGATGGCCTGTTAGGTCCAAAAAGCCTCAAAGGCATTTCTTAAAGGGGCCATGCTTTTTTTTTTAATTTTTAAATTTTTTTTGCTTAACTCTCGGGGTCCTTTTTTTGCTCATCAACTTTGGTTTTCCCCTTTATTTTTTCCCTCAACAGAATTTTTTCCCTGATGGCTTGTGTGTGTGTGTGGGCGGGGGAGGGGGAGAATTTTCGGTATTTTTGTTTAAAACATCTGGCAACCTTAATGTTTATACACTACCATTTACTTTTGTAGATGAGGTAAGAATTTTGTTCTGATCAGCAGGCAGCCTATTTTGCTTTTAACAGAAATAATTTCTTTGTAATTTTAAGCATCATCTCTTCAAGAAGGGAAAGTAACAAACAAACTGGAAACAGAAAAGCTGGTATAATAGTGGAAGACTTTCATACAATTCATCAGGTTAACTATTTACCAAAGGGAAAAAAACAGATTGTCAGCGCTAACCACCAACAAAAAAAGAAGAGGCAAATTCTGACTTTAGAATGTCCCTGGTGCCCAGTGCATAGACTGTAGCACTGAATATTTTCAAAACCATGTACAGACATAATGGACTTCTCTTCAGACAAGAAATTCAGCACAAAATTCTGCCTCTCTTGAGTTAAATAAATCTTTTTCTTTTTACATTTTTCACTGACAATATGTTGGATACTGGTCAGTCTATGGATCTAAGTCTCAGAGACCCAATGACCTATAACATGCATAGATCATACCCAGATATCAAACTCACAGCTGCTTCTCATTCTGATCATTAAAATGCATAGTTTTTAATAGCACTGTTCACCCCACCCTCATCCGTTTATAGTATTCACTTGTCTCAACTTAAGATTCCAAATTCTTTAATGCTGGTATGTGTTTGTACAGTGCCTACCACAATGGGTCATCAACCTGGATTGGGAATTCTTTATGACACCATAAGAGTAATGATATTTACATCAGAGAAGCCCTAAATCACTAATTAAAGTCTTAGAGTCTGCCATGCTGTTATACACCAAGACACCTGTGTCATACAGAGGGGAGGCTGGGTTGTCACAGAAAAGGGTGAAAAGAGACACTAACTCCTCTACCTATTTATCTTCGTCACCTAGCCATTTTTACCAATCTGGATAGAGGTAGAAAAATACAACTGCAGCAGAGGTGCTTCTATGAAGATTAAAATTTACGCATGAGAGGCATCCATGGGTCTTTAAGGTAAGTAATTTTCCAATTAACTGATGGCATCACAACAAAAATGAGCTGTTAAAGTTGACATTTAAATTTCCAATAATGTGGGTTTTTACAATGCCTCCCACAATGGAAGCCTATTGTTGGTTGGCTCTTTGGCACCGCTACAATAAGCATAAAAATAATCTAAATATAATGAATGTACACTACAGCAATGAATTTATTCTACTATTAACTTTGACACATTGTTCAAGGGATTGTTTCAAACATTCCTAGCATGCCTATATATCTCTTTTTACACTGTACAGTAAAACTCTGATAGTCCGGCATCCAACTGTTCGGCACTCCCAATACTCCGGCATCAAAATGCCAAGCACTCCTGATCAGCTGATTAAAAAGTCTGCTGCTCAACACAAGTGCTGGCTGTAACCCCAGGGAGCATAAGGTTGGGGGGTGGGGGGGAGGGGAAGAGTGGGATCCTGTTACAGTATGGAGAAGAGCATTTTGCTTCAGCAAAGGGGAGAGGGGAGGGGAAGGGGAAGGGGAGGAAGATCAGGTTACAGCATGGAGAAGCAAAGACAAAAGGAGAGGGAGGGAGATTGTGTCCCTGCCAGCTGTTAGTGCAGCTGTACCAGGACCTCCCGATTCTACGGCAAATCTGATAATCCGGCACCACCTAGGTCCAAAAGGTGCCGGATTATCGGAAGTCTCCTGTACTTTGAAATATCTAAGGTGACTTACTATGCAAACACCAAAAATGCATGAAAACAAAATATCTCTTATGCACATAAGGTACAATTTACTGATTTTAATGACTTACCACAACTTCTTACAAAGTACTTTTTTTTTTTTTTAAATGGTGGTGGTTCATTCATACATTTCTGCTCTTTGGACCTGATCCTGTTTCCATAAATAGCAGCAGTTATTCTTACTGAACTCAGTGATAACAGATTTATTCATTGGGCAGCTGGTGTAGCTGGGGCTTGGGGAAGCAGGCCCCGAACCCCACCTACATCCCCATCCTGGGGAGAAGGAGCAGGAGCAACAATACC